TGTGGTCAGAAATCCATAATAGAGTCCAACCACAACAATCAAATTAGTTATCTTCGATATTAAATTACCTGATATAAACAACATCACAAACCTTCTTTTTTTATTTAAATCTCTCAATTATGGATAATTAGATTCTTATATGATGATTTTTTTATTATTACATGATGATCTTTTATTATATGATAATTTTTTTTATTATATGATCATTTATTATTATTATATGATAATTTTTTTATATTTTTTATGATTTTTTCATTTTTCATATATAGAAAAAGAAACAAATACACTAAAAATGACATCTCTTATGTCAAGGACAAAAAAGGGATATGAAATGAATGGAATTGGGATATGGATGGAATATAAGGAAATAGTGCCACTTTGGGGTTCCTTATGACATGAGGCATGGAACAAAGCCATTACAAAGAAGTTATGGAGGTTACAAAGGAAACCTCGAGTTCATATTGGCCATGGTTGAGAATGGGAATTGAACTCTATGAGATTGAACCTCTCATTGTTCCTTAATAGCTCCATGGCAGAGTGGTCGGTTGTTAACCAATTAGTTGTAGGTTTGAATCCTATTTGGGGAGATTTGATTCATGTAGAATGAAAGAATTAAGAATGTTAGAATGAAAGGCTTTGCTTTGACCATTAAGAGTCGCGTTCGTTGCGTCTTTGTTTTTATTGCATTCTATCTCATCGTATCCCATTCTGTTCTGCGCTATTTGAGAATCGCCGTCAATACCTCGCCTCGGTGTAGGAATCCTTTGTTCCATAATCCTATAGGACTATTTGCAACAAACTAAGTAAGAATTCTTAGATATACTAGTACTAACAAATGCATCAAAGATTCAATCATCAATTCTTCTAAGAGGCCACAATTACCATGAGCAAACACATTAATTTGATGATGAGGAGCGCATTTTGGCTATGCTACTAATACTTGCACTTGCTCAACTATTATATGCAAGCCTGGCTAAGGAAGAGTTATGGGGAGTAAAACCAAAAATATATGCTTATTGGGGGGCAATAATACTATATTTAAAAAAACATGAGAAATAATATAAATAATAATAAATAAAGGGCCATTCCATTTCGGCAAAAGACCCACGCCCAAGTTACATAGCTTGGGGGTCCACTCTCCCGATCATCATTTCCCTACCCTAGAGGAAAAGGTCCTTTCCTTTTGGGCTTGTAATATCCCAAATTTTCGGGAATATTTAAGTGTAAGTTAGGGACTTGATTGTGAGAAAAGATTGTTTTGGGGCTTAATGTGAATATTTCAAAAGTTGAGGGACTTAAAGAGGGAAAGAATTTGGATAAGGATGAGCTTCTTTTCTTTTTCTTTTTTCTTTCTTTCTTTTCTTCCCAGCCATTCCCGATT